CCGCCGGCCCCCCCGGCCGGGCACCAAATCGTGCACGTCCGGGGGGACTCGGAGACCGACCTGGAGGCGCTCTTCAATGCCGTCATGAACCCCAAGACGGCCAATGTGCCCCAGACTTTGCCCATGAGGCTACGGAACCTGCCGGACTCTTTCTTTAAGCCGCCGGAGCCTAAGTCCCACTCACGACAGGTAACTGCGCCCCTTCCCCCCTCGTGGCCCCGGGCTGGGGCGCCGGCGGGCGGGCGGGGGGCACTGAGGGCCGGCGGGTGGGGGCGGGGCAGGACGGGGTGCGGCGCCCGCCGAGGACGGAGTGCGGGGCCGAGATTTCGTGTCTCCCCTGGGAGTTCCTCCGCGCGGTGGCCACCCCTTGGAGCGTGCTGCCCCCGGCTTCGCTTCCTTTCTTTCTCTCTGGGGTTACCGGGGGGCGGGGGGTCTGGCACAATGCGCGCGCCTCCCGCTCTTTGCACCTTCGCTAGCGCCGCGGGCCGGGCCGGGCCTGGCCGGGCGGGGCGGGGCGAGGGCCGCCGGCGGGGAATGGGGCCCGGGGCCCCTGGTCCTGCGGAGCCTCTAGGTTCCCTCCCGTCTCCGGGGGAGTCAGATAATTGTTCTCTTGTTTTCCAGGGTAGATTAGGGGTGGGGGTGGAACAGCTCCGTTTTGCCCCCTCCCCCCTCTGCCCGTCCCCTCCCCCTCCTGAAATCGTGTTTTCCTCGGGGCCCGGGCTCCTTCTGAATGCAGGATCCAGACTTTCCTGGAAGTTGATTGTGGAGTTGGTGCTTTTCACCGCGCTGCTTCCCAGCGCCCTGAAACTCGGGCGGGCTCGCTCCTCGCTGCTACCGCCCGCGGCGGATCCTATTTACAGGCCGCCGGGACGCTGTCCTCCCCCCCCACCCCCCCCCCCGAGTTGCGCAGGACCTACTGGAGCGCTCTGCGCCCTGGTTTTAACGTAAGCCTTTGATAATACATTGCAGGTTGACTCACAGGCCGAGTCCTGCCTAGTTCTGCTGTGATTAAAAGTTGATGTTTGGGAAGCGATGACTAATTCGAGGCTCGCCATTGCTATTTCACTCTTATTGAGGATATGAGCATGGCTGTTTGGTGATTCGTGGACTTGAGCCAACACTGATATGAAACTTATGAAAGTGTTAACATTCCGACAGGTCCCAGTAGATTTGTTTAGTGTAGTTTATTTTCTATATTTCTTGCCTTTGTGTGTGTGTGTGTGTGTGTGTGTGTGTGTGTGTGTGTGTGTGTAGAACTTGCTTCTGGCTAAACTTCAGCGTAGGAACTTTGCCCGAAAAGTTAATTGGTTTTCCAAATACTGCGATGTAGTTGGTCCACTCGGACTGTAACTTGAGTGGAAAGAAGAGTTCTCGCCCGCACTCCCTTTCTCCCTCCTGTTTGCATGCCTGTTGTATCTGTGCCTGTTGCATACCAAGGGGCTTTGGAACTCGGAAAAACTCAGTTAACCTGCGAACAAAACCTAGGTTGAAGAACAGGAACGAAAATCAAGTGCTTCTCTAAAACCTTCAGTTTATAAGAGGCAGACTTAGTGCACTCTTTTCTCTGACCGCTCCAAGGGCGGTTTCTGGACAGAGGGGCAAATGTGTGTTGGCATTGCACCTTTACAGACATCACAGCTCAGCTGGTGATACTTAAATCTGTTTGAAAGTACAGTACACGTAAGCGTTGAATTCCCCATTTTGTGATATCTATATGCCAAAAAAGAATTGCAGTTGAAAAGTAATAATTGCAGTAATAAGTAAAAATAAATAAGTTAGAATTTATAGCCAGTAGTCTGGATTCATACTAATAATATACTTTTATTTTTTTAAAATAAGTTTCTTACTTAAATGTTGTGTATCTCCAAGTTTAGTTTTTATTTCTGCTAATGATTTCCTAATTATAATTAACTTGATTGGAAACTTAGAAAATGTACACCACTTGACTGGAAGGCATTAATATGTCCCAGCTGATTGCTTCCAGACTCCCTTCCTTGCCTCCTGTATGAATGAATCTAGGAGATTCAAACTTTTTTTTAAAATATAAAGCCTAATTCTAATCAAGAAATTCAAATAATTATGAGTGTGTGAATTGTATGAAAATGAATTGTAAATACTATATTGTCCACAAAGTTACTGATGCAAATTCATCTCTTTACATTCACACGGATATATCATTTTCCATCATAAAAAAGCAGGCTCACAGAGATTAAAATATTCCACACTAGTTTGGATTGAAATCCAGATATCTGGGGTCTCAGTACAAGTTTTTCCTACTGGTACACAGTTGTAATCTATCTGTGTGAGTACTTAAGTCATAACATTGTTGAACTATTGATATCTTTGTTGTCTAGATAAGTATTGGGTTGGGTTTTCCTTCCATTCATGAGATGGCTTGTGAGGACATTTGGATGGCTCTGCATTCATTGAAAGTTGTCTGACTTGAGTTGAGAGGGAAAAAAAAGATTGCTGTGTTTATAGCTTGACATAGGGGGGGAAAACTATGTAAAACCTAGTTTAAAGACAGTTTTTATCATACATGGTTAATTATATTCCTATACCTGGAATATTCTAAAACTTGTAATAGTGCCCTTACTGACTTGGCCTTTTACAAATTAGGTTTTAAAATTCCACTAGCATTATTTTTAAGAATATTTCATTCTATATTATTTGTCTCTAAAAGATGTTGAAAGTATGTCTCTATTGTAGGTAGAAATTCACTCAGATATACTGCTTAATAAAACTACAAGTGTTTGTAAAAGTACGTTTAAATTACGTAAGTCATTTAAAAGTATCTGTCTGCAAACCTGTGTTCTGTGCCAGATATTAAATGTTGAAACTTGTCATTAGCACTCAGAATTTCATTACAACCAGACATCCATCTAGGCAATTCCAAAGGACTCTCTTTAAAAATCATTTTAAAGAAATTCTCACTTAATTTTCCTTCTAGGCCAGTACCGATACAGGCACTGCTGGAGCCCTAACTCCTCAGCACACTCGAGCTCATTCCTCCCCAGCTTCCCTGACACAGGGCTCCGTGTCTCCTGGAACCCTGACTCCCACCGGAGTGGTTTCTGGCCCAGCAGCTGCACCCACAGCTCAGCACCTCCGACAGCCTTCTTTTGAGATACCTGATGAAGTACCTCTGCCGGCTGGCTGGGAGATGGCCAAGACTTCATCTGGTCAGAGATACTTCTTAAAGTAAGTAGGAGGTTGTTTTCTAAGAAAAGTAAAGTTTGGAAAAGAGAGTAAAGTTCTATCAAGATATGGAACATCACAGGTGTTTTTCTTTTGCTTAATACTAATATAAAGCTAAGTTTGTTTTTTCCCCTACAATTTTTTTTCCCTTGGTGTGACCCCTGAATACTTTATAATATTTTGGAAAGCTTGATTGATTCAGAACCTTTTAATAAATAGTCTTTTCTTTTATGGCAGTTTGGATATCCTCATTTTGAATTTGTGTCAAATTATTAATTAGCCCAGCTCAAAACTAAAAGAATATCCTGACAAATTTCAAACTGTGAGAATGATAGGGCTTCTGTGATTTTATAAAATACATCTTTTTAAATAGCTATTTTATTGCTAGAGGCGAATAGCCAACAAATAAGATACCTTTGGAAGTTCAGTTTTACAGTATTTTAAAATGTGAAATGATAAGCTTTTCAATTGTAGTTTGATGAAAATTACCAGTAGTTTCCAAAGCAAAATTTCAGGTTTGATATTCTAAGTAGCAAACATTTTTCAAACCGGTAGGTTTGAAAACAAAATGGGAAAACAAAATGGTCACCGGGTTATTTTTATTGACCTTTTTATTTTTGACAAAATGGTATAATGTTAATAAAGTGAAACAAAAACAGTTTTATCCTCCTAAGTTTTAAGCTCTTAAGACCTTAAAATTTTTGTCTTACTTACTGGATTAAGTGTATAAATTTAACTGGAAGTAATTATACTGAACTCATTTTTGAAATAATACTTAACAGAATATTAAGGTTGAGATTAATAGTGGAAAGTAATTCAAGTATTGACAGTCTTTTGTCTACTAGATTACATTAGTAGATTGTCTTAGCAGTATAATATTTAACAGATCACACAACTTAATGGCACTAATTTTTCCTATATTTCTTAATTAGCATTTAATATTGATCATTTTTCAAGTTAGGTTGTTACCTTGTAATACAAGGTTGAGTTTTGTGACAGGTGTACATAGGAGGAGATCAGAAGAAAGAGTTTGGTCTAGGAAAAGTTTCTATAGTTTTTTGCCCCCTTTCCTGCATTTTTTTTTTTTTTTCCTTTTTAAATTCGTTTTTTTCTGGTGTCTTGGTATCCATTTCAAAGGGTCAGGTTTCAACCAGAACAATAAAGGGCCTGAGACTGGAAAGTACACACAAGTCTGGCAAACTCATCTGCATGAGCAAGATCGTTTGTTCTCAAGCAGACTTCCAAAGTAAATGATTGAAAGAGCTGCTAGCTGTGAGGGATGTGTCTTGAAGGGAAAAGGAATGGAAACAAACCAGGTTGTTAGGAGGAAAAAGAAAGGCTGTACTTTTTTGAACCTCTCCCTGCTGGGTCACATGCTGGCCTAGGGAGGGTTTTAAACAGTGTAATAGCCTGGTTGGCTGTTTTCTTTGGTTGATGCTGTGGCTAAAAGTATAAGGTTAAAGATCAACTTTGATGCTCTCCTAGTCTTTTTGTACTTAATCTTATTTGCCTGTGCAGTGAATAAAAATTAGTATGTTTGTGACAGCTCATTTAGCCCACATCATTATGGAAGTAGCTAACAAGTGGATATGAACTAATCTTCATATAACTTACTCCAAATTGCATAATGTTCATAAAGAGATTTTTGAGGGACTTTCACATAGGAGTAAAGCTAGGTTTATTATATGGTAAGAAACATGAGGGCTTTTTTTTATTTTTTTTTAATTCCATGGAGTAATTTTCCTGACTCATACCTTCAGAGCAGGCAAAATCATGGATACATTATTACCTTTCAGGAATTATAGAGAGGACCCATAAGTTCTGATGTGTTAGATGGGTACTGCAGGCAGGTGAAATTTCTTATTGTTGTGAAGAATGTTTGCTTTATGAACAGTATTCAGTTTAGAGAAAAGTTATATGAAGATTAGTTCATATCCACTTGTTAGTTATTTCCATGATGATGTGGGCTAGGTGAGTTATCACAAACATACTTATTTTTATTCACTGCACAGGCAAATTCATTTTTATTCTAGTTTTGAAATTAGACTCTCTTTGCAGTCATAGGTGCAGAATGAACAGCTTCAACAACATGCATATTGTACACTCATTTCAATAATGAAAAATTATACCTTACTATGTATCTTTTAGATACTGCAACTAACTTACAATTTACAAAGTATATAATTTATTGAGATTTATACTTTGCAGGAAGAAATCTGACCGTAAGTGGTCCAGACATGCAAGATGATTGTAATTTGATTGGAAGCTTTGGAAACAGCTTATTGCTGTCTTATGACCATAGATGAATGAATTTGGAAGTTGCCTGGCCTGTTTTAAGGTAGCATAATTACTGCAGGATTATAGGCAAGCCAAGATTAGTATTTTTAAAGCCTTTCCTGGGTCATTTAGATCATCTGAACGACAAGACTTGTACCTCAACTTGGCAAGTGGTATGGGGGAAATAGGGTATGCCTGTGTTTATCAATAGTCTATGCAAGTTTGGTATGATGGCAAAACATATGTTAAAAAAAACTTTATTAGTCTGTGTTATATATGTTGCTTGTCAACTGAAATTACTGTTTAAAACTAATTTCTCCAACACAGTATATTGAGCTTTTATTTAAAAAGAATTCTCTATTATTTTGAGAATTGCTGCATTCTTCAGCTGTCTTACAGTTTTCCTACAGGAAATACTTTTTCAAGTAGTTGGTCAACAACTTCCTATTTCTTTATAAGCTGCTGAATAACTTCCTGAATTAGTGTTCTATAATATCTCTGGTTACAAGGAGTCTTTTTTTTTCTTCTCAGATTTATTTTATTGAATCTTATACCTTGTAGCTATTAACACGGTACAAAGAACTTTTGTATATAATGTAACATATAGGAACTTACAATTTGATTTAAGAAATCTAATGTGGTTTAAAAGTTTGGATTTACATTACTTTTATAAGGTTGTCTAATAGCTTTTAAAAAGATTGATTTGTTTTATTTATCATTTTCTGAGTAACTGACCACAGTGTTTTTAGTCTCTGAAGAGTCAGGTTTTCTGTAAGTGATTTGATTAAAAGCTATAGTGGATATCTTCATCCACAGTTTAAAGTGATATTTTTTCAGAGATTTCAGCAATTCAGCTTTATATCTTAGCCAGCATTCCAGCATTAAATGAACTAGCTTTGCAGATGTGCTGGTCACTGTAAATGCTTTGATTCTCTTTTTGCTACATTTGTTACTTTTGGAAAAAAATCCTCCAGAATCTTAATTAAAGCTGCTCAAAAATGTATCCGTTAAAAAACATGATTTAAGTTCTTTCTTACTATGATTTGATCTTATGTATCTTCTCCCACTTAAGAACTGTAAATTCATAACATCTTTTGTTGCTACAATAAAGATTAGATGTCTTAGAAAGGGACAGTTTCATAAAGAATAATATAGCTATGTTAAGAGTCTGTGGCTTTTTTGGGGGGGTTCTTACTACATTAAAGATAACTTTTGTAAATGGTTTCCTTTTAAAAGTGAGAAGCTTTATAATATTGCCTTTAAATGTTGATTAAGCTGCAACAAACAAACCAATTTAAATTGTAGAGTATTCCCCTTAGGGAATACTCTAAGGAGAGCGAACTTTCTCTGTTTGTCTTGCTGTTGAGGTCGAGTGGGGAGAGATGAAAGTATGCCCTTAACACTCAGAAAAAATTGCTTACTTGTGCTCAGTGGGTGGGCATCCAGGGGAAGAATGGCCTGCAGTGCCACTGTGATTCAGGCAGAAAAACTCTGGAGGAACCCTTGACTATAGTGACAGAAGAAAAACAGTTGGGAGATAGTGGATGTGACAGAACAAATAGAACACAGAGACAGATTAATTTATTTCCTGGGGAAAGTAATCAGTATTTTTAGTGTGAATTAAAGATTTAGTTATCAAACTAGATGCTTACATACTACAGTTGGCTGCAAGAAGCAAGCTACTTTTCTTTAAAAACTAATAATCAAAAAAATAATTCTCCCCAAAAGTCTCATGTTAACTTTTAAAACAAAATATATATAGTATGTTTCAAATATATATAGTATTTGAATCATGGAAACTTAAAGTTTTGTAGTTATGAGATCATGTTGAACTTTATAGTTAGAAAAATAATGTAAATAAACATCCTGAAATAGTAATACTAGCAGGACTCAGAATTGCCTTTTACTTTGAGATGCTTCGGGAGGTGAACCTACACCCAACCTAATATTTAGATGTCAAAGATACGTCACTGAAGGGTTAGGGCAAATCAGAGTGAAGTCATTTTAAAAATCAATCATTAAGGTTTAAGATTATTCAAACTTAATTTGCTACCTTTAGTAGTAGCATAATTTAGCCATTAATTATGGCTTGAATGTTCAATAATAGCTGAGTAGCAGTATATAAAGGGAGGTCTTAAAGAGTTGTGTGGTTCTATAACTCTGGTTACTAAGCAATGTACTACTTACAAAAAAGGCTCTGATTTCAGGATTAATCAGAACTTCAAGCCATGAAAGGGACGTTGCTGTTCTTATGAAGAAGAATTGCTTCATGGCTCTGGTTGCTCAAGTACTGGAGCACTGAGTTTCCTGGGAACAAGTACTGCCACCCTGGAAGCACTTTTATTTGCGTAGGGCATGACCCCCCTCTAAAAGCAAACAAAAGTGTTTGGTATAAATTATAATGCTCCTTGTTTTTCTTTCTCTTTAATATTTTAGATAAGGAAAAGTTGTCAGTAGTTTAATCCTCAATGGAGTCTTAGCATCAATAGAACCAATTTTTAACAGCAGATGGTAAGATGTTCTAAATAATGTTGCAAAATAACAGAATAACACAAATAGGGGTCTCTACTAAAATATCCATGTTTTCTTCCATCAAAAAGTTTGTGTTGTATTCTGGTAAGTGATACTCACTTTAGTGTTGTGTTTCTCTCTGTTCCTTCACAGGGACAGTTAGTCATTAGTCTTAAATATTTCATGTGAATCCCAGTTTAGGACTGGTGGAGAGA